CCCCCCCCGTGAAACATGTCGGTGGAAGACCGTTACTATAAACTCAATCGTATTCTACTCAAGTCGCTCGGCCTCTGGCCCTATCAGGACTCGAAGTGGGCACGCATCCAAGCTACAATGATGATGATAATGTATCTGTCCAAGATATTCGTTCAGGTATCACGTGTTCTTGTATCCGTTTCTCGACAAATTTGCGAGAAATCCTACTCGGTGTGCGCGTCGTTGTCGGCCTAATTATCGTTTTCAGTTGGCGGTATTCATTACGCACGAGTGCACAATGGACGTGTTGGTTGAAGTGTTCTCCTTCGTTTTCCCGACTATTTTCATAATATACATGTACCTCCTGTATTATCTCAAGTCCGGCGCGGTAAGTTGACGTACGAATCCTCTTGCCTTGCTCGTTCGGACATGTTCACGAGGATCATTTATTCGATGCAGATGAAGGAAATCGCGGACAGCATGTATTACGATTGGAAGTCTTTCAAAAACAAAGTGGAACTCGACATTATGAACGATTATGCCAACTCGGCGAAACAGTTTTCGGAAGTATTTCTACGTAAGCAACTGCGTAATCGACTGCGGACTAATTCGCACGTTCGTGTCACACTTATAGCATCCACATCTATCGCTAGCAATTATATAGAAAGTTGATACTTAGCGTAACTGTTGTAGTAATTAGATTTCATGGTTTACATTTATTCAATACTTTGTTGCATGCAAGCACATACATATAAGTGCGTATTTCCGGTATCCGTGACTGTTCACTGATGCATTGCTTAACGAACCGGTTTTAATGTCGCATTCAGTTGTATATTACATTTTTCTATTTCGTTTACACTTTGCGGTCGGCGACCCACTCGAGGAAGCTTGACTAATGTGTTTGTATTTCTCGAAGGCATAATAAGAAAATAACCGCGCTTATTTATTTGGTTCATTTTTTCTTATACAAATGTTGATATCTAAAAAACTATTGAATCTAGCGTATTCAAAAAACATTTATCGTGAAGTTCACTTTTTTCTTTATTTTTATTGAACACCATAAAAGTTAATTTTTCTGTGAAAGTTTTAGTTTTTGAAATCATAAAAATCATGGTCTATTTTAAACTGGAAAAAAGTCCAACATGGATATAATCGATATTTTAAGCGCATAAGTTATATCAAGAGGATTAATAAAAGAATTAAAAACATACTTCTCTTCTCGTTTACATATGCTCGCAAACATTGTTTTTTTTCAACGCGGACATAAATTAATATTCTCATCGTCTGATGATTCTGACCAGATTCGTCTCCTGACACGTCGATGAAATATCGGTAATACATCTATGACTAAGAGGGTGGATCAAATATAAACAAGCTTTTTGCAAAAAAAAACATATTTTTTTCAATATAAATTATAATTTACATTTTTCTTATTTTTCTAAATAGTCCCCCATCTTATCTGTATACACTTCCTCAAACGGTGTGGAAATTTTTTAATCCCGGTATCATAAAAAGTTCGCGGACATGTTTCAAACTAATTGCACACGAAATGATGCTCGTTTCCCCTCCTCGTTCGTTATGAATCGCTGTCCACCAAGGGCTTTCTTGAGTGGACCAAACATATTGTAGTCGCATGGTGACAGGTCTGGGCTATAGGGTGGATGTTCTAGGACAGCCCAGTGCATATCGGCTAATTTTTGTTGTGTTCCTGCTGCAGAATGGGAACTGGCGTTGTAATGGAGAAGCAACACATTTCTAATCGGAATGTCGCGCCTTTTTGACCGATTAGGCAGCTCGAATTGAAAGTCAAATGACGTTTCTGGGAGATTTAGAAAACAGTTAAGTGCCGATCGCCTTCGATTTGTTCTCGAACAGTCTCGGTATTCTGCGCTGTGATGCTAGTGCGGAGACTGCGCGAGAGAGCAATATTTTCAACACGCTCCCGTCCTTTCTTAACCCTTTGAGCGCTGCGTTGTCCGACGTTAAGCGTGCGCCGTGGACTGCCCAATCTTTACGAAGAAACACATCGTGGACTGCGTATTTTTTACGAAAGAGCGCAAGTTTGAGCACACTGAATTTTCATTGCAAAATATATTGATTGTAACTAAAATAAATTATGTAGTGAACTCAAAAGCCTTAATGAACATTTATTTCATTAAGCAATAATAACATGAACAATATAAAAGTTTTAAATTGAATAGTTATGTGAGAACGCATTTATGCGTTCATAGCCTAAATTGAATGGTTGTGTGAGAACGCATATATGCGTTCATAGCCTAAATTGAATGGTGTGTGAGAACGCATATATACATTCATAGCGCTCAAAGGGTTAAATTTGTTACAACACTGCTTCACCCGAGCCCATGAAAGGGTTCTTTTTCCGAACTGTGAGTGTAAATGGCACCAAATTTCAGCAGCATTTACATTTTCGTTGACGCGAAACTTAATAATAACACGTTATGTAACTGCGAAGTGTACCTCTTTCTTGCTCATAGTGATTACTGCTGAGAGTATGAAGCACGTGGCGCGCCAACGTTATTACTGTCTTCCACATGACCCCCCTCCACTGTCCAAAACGTTGCAGACCCCTCATGCCGCCGAAAGGCGCGCAATTTAAAAAGGCTCGTTTATATTTGATCCCCCCTCGTATATAATATGAAACAAAATAATATAAAATTGGGCATAATACAAAACCAACGAGTAAATAAATAAACAAATAAAACTAAAGAACACATGTACGATTGATAAACCAATGACTGATTGTAAACAAATAAATGTAAAGAACACGTTTACGATTGATAAACCAATGACTAATTATAAGAGGATTTATTTTCTATTGAATTTGATTTATTTCCTTTTGAATTCCTTATCTGAAGAGAAATCTGTGTTAGATTACATTTTTTTTGCTTTTCCTCAGCTCGCAATAGCGTTTACACTGCTAAGATCTGTCGATCGACTAGAATCGAAAGACTAACTCAGAAAGAACAATCTTAACACTTGGAGCGATCGTTACTTGTTTCGACATAGCTACGAATCGCTATTTATCTTTTTCGCATGTTGCCAATTGCTTAAAACTGCCTATGTTTTGATTTATTTATAAAACCAATATTGTTACATCGCGACGACGCAGTGTCATCAACGGACCGCACCGTCGAAACGACAGCGACGGCATCATGCCGTCGACGGACCGCAAAGTGTTTATTGACTTAACGGGAGAAAATACGCGCTCCTGAGCACGGTATTGAATTGTTTTCTTTTCAAACGTTATTTTAACCCTATCTTGGCTACGAAAATGTCAACGTCGCAACGCGAATGTTTTAATCTCACGCGATGTAACTGCGCACCGATTGCGTGTACTATTATTAACCCTTTGCACTCCAGCCTAGTAATGCATAGAGGCTATTAGTTCGAAGTACATACCTATGATGTAGAAGAAAAATAGAGTCGTTTCAATACAACAAAATTTTTATTTCTTAGCTATTTTATAACAAAACATATTCTAACTTATATTATAAAAGAAAAACATAAATTTTAGGACTTAAAATTTCTTAAAGTGCCGAGGCAGCAAAACAACCATGTCGCCGCTACGGCGACAGCGGAGTGCAAAGGGTTAACCGAGCAAATATATATCAAAGCATTGATCCATCTTGACATTTCTCAGTTTTTGCCTGCATTGGCATAATAATGACCATGACGTGTCACCTTGTACCGATAATTCTCGACATTGTTTCACCTTTGAACGTGAGCCGGTCTGAAGATCTACACCTTCTAGTGGAGTACTTTGTCGATCAGTCCAAGTACTGTTACGTATTAATATTACATCTGACGATTTCCATCTGCTTAGGAATGACGACAGTGATAAGTATCGGAGTAACGCTGTACGGTTACGCTTTACACGCTTGCGCGTTGTTTAAAGTAGCCAAGTGAGAATTCGAAGTAATCAGATCGGAAACAATCAAGTAATATGCAATACCGATGTCGCATTTGCAGTTACCGGATGGAGATCACGATGGGCAAGGACGTATTAAGAATCCCTAACCAGGAAAGGGAGCACGTGATTCATGGCAGGCTAGTTTGCGCAGTTGACGTGCACCGGAGAGCTCTTCTGTTCGTATAATCTAAATCATCACTTTTGAACTATCTTATGCCGAATCTTCATGAAGAATATTTCATTATTATGATGTCAAAATATCTCTTTTGTATTAAACATTTTATAGTATTCAAAAGGAAGCTTTAAGTTAAAAGTGTTTTTTTTTAATTAATTGTTGGTTACTAATATAAAATGATATTTTATATATATATNAAAAATGAAGTTGACCTTAAAAATATAATCAAGGGTAATTCAAGGTTATAATATTATATCCTACTCTCTAACTTTCCAACGTTTTGTCTGAAAAATTATTTTGTAAAAGACTTGTGGAAAAAAGACTTATTTTATTGGAGATATTAAAATAACTCACATAGTATCACATAGTATCACATGGTATACGAGGGCGGTCCGATAAATACTTAGCCTATAAAAGAAAAACGAAAATTTTGGAAAAGTGGCGATTTATTTCTCAACATAGTCTCCTTTTAGCTCGATACACTT